TTGAGAATTTTGTCGTTTTATGTTGGTCGTGATCAAATTCCTGCAAATTCTGATGATTTCTTCACTTACCCACAGTTTTTAGCTGTAAAATACCTTCAACTCGAAGTGTTTGGCCTAAACCAAACTACGTTTTGGAAAATAATAAGACTTTTTCCTAATATCAAATTTATGATTTTAAAACACGATTTTGAATTTTCAGAAACTCAAAATAGAGAGTTAAAATCAAAAATAAAACAAGAATTTTTAAAAATATCTAAAGTTATTTTAAAATAAAGTTTTATAAAAAATAATTTGTAAACAAATTTTTATTTGTTCATATAAAAGAAATAAAGCTAAAAATGCATTTGATGCTTATTTGATAATAGTCCAAAAAGCGTGTTGTAGTAAAAATGGGTGTAAGATAAAAAACTAATCTTTCAAGTCCACAATCAATCTTCTTTGTTTAATACATTGCTTTCTCTATTTACTATCTCATCAAACANAAATAAAGCTAAAAATGCATTTGATGCTTATTTGATAATAGTCCAAAAAGCGTGTTGTAGTAAAAATGGGTGTAAGATAAAAAACTAATCTTTCAAGTCCACAATCAATCTTCTTTGTTTAATACATTGCTTTCTCTATTTACTATCTCATCAAACACAACTGTGGTCTTATCAACAGTACTGGCAACCAAACCACAAGGCAAAACTAGTTTGCGGTTGTTGATGCTCACATGTATTTGTACTCATGCTGAAAAAACTAAACTTGAGTTAATTTTTGTTTTTAAAAATTTAAATCAACTTATTCCAAATGGAATTACTTGCTTTACCTGATGATTGTCTTCTTTTAATCTTAGAGAAACGTCCACTTCAGCATTTAGTACAGTTGAAGCTAGTTTCATTGCGATTTTACAATATCATACAGCATATTTGTGTTTCAAAACAAAGATTAAAAATTTTTGGCAGTTCTTATGAAATTCAGCAATACATTCAATCTCTCAAAGAGAATTACATTGATCACATACAAGATTTTAAAATTCGTTCTTCAGAAGTTTTAATCATCAATAATTCAACTAGTACTAGTATCTATGAGATTCCAAAAAGGTAACATAAAAGTTGTAAAAATTGCTACTCATGGTATTAAATATTTTTTTTGTTGCATCAGTTTTCCAAACGTGAATGATTTAGTCATCAATAGTACTTCTTTTGACACTTTGGATTTGGCAAACTTTCTAGAACCTTGGAGACTTTGCCTTGATTCGTTTTCAAATTTTGGTTTGCCAAAATATTTGAACACTATTCAATTAAATCGTTTTTTGGAGTGCATCAACACAATGTCAAAACTGACAAAACTTCACTTGCAGATAAACACTGGTTATCGCTTTCCCGACAACTTTACAATTGTATCACAACTTCTTATGTTCCGTCTAACATCTTATTCTTTTGATTTAGTTCCTATTCTTTCACATATATCTTCCAATATTTTTCTTTTTTTATCAAACGTCTACTTGGGACCAGATCAATTGGAAGAGCTGATTAAACGAAACCCACTAGTAAAACAAAAAATTTTGGGATTTGATTTTGGCTTTTTTCTCTCAAAAAGCAATAGAATCGAAAACTTTTCAAAAACATTTCATTTTGTTTGTGACCAATTTCAAGAGTTACAATTTATGGATTTGATGGTAAGTTACTAAAAATTTCAATACTATCATTTTATAAAAATGTGATTTTATTTTTCTGATAGTTTGGCGAGCACCTTCCTTTAGCCGAAATGGTTACCGGTTTAGGAAAACTGAAAAATCTTACACTTTTATCTATATACGTTGGTCGTGATCAAATGCCAGTCAGTTCTGCTGATATCTACGCTTATCCCCAGTTTTTATCAGTAAAATACCTTCATTTTGAAGTGTTTAGCTTAAGCTATACTCTGTTTTGGCGAATATTGAGGCTTTTTCCTAACGTAAACATTTTGTATTTGAAACATGACTTTGAGTTTACTGAAACGAAACACAAGAACATGATTTCACAAATGAAGCAAGAATTTCCCAAACTATATAAAGTTGTTTCACAGTAAAAACTTTAATAAGAAATAAAACATAATTTACTTAGTGTTTTATAAACAAATAATGAGAATTTCGATAAGTCAACAGGCAATAACTTGTTTGAGAAAGAGGGTGTGAGAGGCAAAAATGAGGTTTGTAATTTGAGTAATGAGGTTATCACAAAGATGGAAAAAGGGGAGAGTTTGTTATTACTAGTCATGATGATTATCGGTTGTCCAGCACCATCATCACTAGTCTCGATTTGTCGGTGCCACTTCGGTCATGTAAATAGTGGTACTCCGTTGACGAGTACCCACTCGTTGCAATGACCGTGTAAGAAGATGACGAATCTTTAGCAACAAAATATATAAAAGTTTTAATTTTAAAATAAAAAATGTTTTTTTTCTATTTTTCACTACGACTCACCTCGCTATTGGCAAAGCAGAAAATGATCGATATGGCTAGGCCTTGCAGGCCATCAAGGCTGAGTGACAGGTAGTGATACGTCTCCGAAAGCCAGCAATTTCTAAAGAATTCCAGAGAAAACAGAATGACAAATAACGTAAAGTTAGCAAGAAAATAGTAACAAGAGCGATGACAACAAAGAACACGTACTCAATCTTGGGCCGGTAGACGATGACGAGGTAGTGCAGGCCGTACAGTGGCAGCAGCAGAACGGCGGCTCGCAGTGACACCAAAATGCTCTGTCGACTGAAGACACTCTGCTGGTGGTAGTGATTGCGACCGGAGACGCTGCCACTTCCATGACCGTTCAGGTGCTGGTTACGATGGTGGTGATGGTGCTGATGATTGGACTGCTGGCCACTTGGAGAGGCGGTGACCATCGCAGAGCTAGGTCCTTGCTGCTGGTTTGGCAAAGGCGGATGTTGGTTCTGGTGGTGGTGGTGATTGCTGCTGCTGTTGTTGCGATTATTGGAGATCATCGTCGCCGCCGCTTTGATGCAAAGAACGCGCAGCAGCCACAACAGAAAGAAGCAGTTGATCTGAAAGAACATGAGATAGAGTAAAGCGTAAGTTTTCAGACAAATGAAAAGAGAAAATTTTTGAGCAGGGGAAGGAGGGGGATGAAGCAGCAGTGGCAGCATAATCCTCTTGGCTTTTCATCAACAAAACGGTAGCAAGAATCCCGAACGAGAATCTGGCTCAGATGATGATTGATGGCTATTTACATTATGCGTGCGCAAAAATTTTCGATGCTGCCGCCGGCGACCAGATTAGAGAAGAAACGGCGGATGGCTGCTACAGATCCAGAATGTACTGGCACCGCCACCATTGTGTATGCTTTGTAAAGAATTCTAAAATGTGTTGGCAAAACTATGGCTTGGAGTCATGTCAATGCCAGAGAACAGTTCATCACCACTTCTGGGGCGCGACTGGCAGTTCAAGCTAGGCGAATACCGCAGTACGATTGTTTTGTTTTGACACGTTTCAGTCAAGGACAACAACGAAAGCAGAGAGCAAAAACACAAAAACTGCGGCATTGCTGGAGCACGAGCACCTTTTCCCAAGGTTTGCTCCTCCGTTGCTTGTCGACCAGGCAATTTCACTACCAGCAGCAGCAAAAACACAAGACAAGCAGCAGTGATATATGGACGCCAATTTCGATTGCACGCTCTTTTCTTCAGCTATACACGAACATTTGTATATTTAGCCACCAATAGTAAAATCATTCAATACAGAAGCGTGTAAGTGTGCATTCAACTGCTTTTTCTCAAAGGGTTAATTCCGATGAAGCAGTTGGTGCTACTTCCATTCACAGTGACATACAATTGTGAATGTAGCACCCCGGAATAGTGAAAATTGTTAGCTCGCAATAAGTAGTGAAAACTGTCAGCCAATGTTAATGCGATTACAAATCTTATTAGAAGGGCAAAAGAGAGAAAAAAAGGGATTTCCCTATTCAGTGACAAAATCGTCCTTTGCCNAGGAAAGCCCACTTTTCAGTAAATCGAGTGTAGCCTTAATGCGATTACAAATCTTATTAGAAGGGCAAAAGAGAGAAGAAAGGGGATTTCCCTATTCAGTGACAAAATCGTCCTTTGCTTTGCTTTGAATAGAGCGGCAGTGGTGCACAGAAAATTAGTGCTGATGATGATGAACTGAGCAAAACTTTGAAAAAGGAAATTAATTAGAGAAGGATTTGACAAGCTAAACTGACAAAACTGGACACAATTTATTATTTCTTTGAAGTGATAAGTTCAGATAATGTTCAGAAAACGCTTTCATGCGCATTTACGTTTAAACTTTCTCACATCTTCAATTAAAATGTAGCAATCTTCTAACTAAAAGTTTTAGAATTTGGCAAAAATAAACTGAAAATCATCTTTTCGGTAAAGTTAATAAAAGTTGTAAACATTTTTTTTATAAAAAAAATCAGCAAATCGAGTTCGAAATATTTGCCAAAAATATCTGCAACAATGGCAGTCAAAGTCCACAAAAGCGTCCTCACATTAGTTGGTTGTCATTTATTATTTTGTGATTGTTGTTTGCTTTTGAAACTTTTTTTCTGCAACTAGCCCTTCCGCTCTTGCTCTTTCTTTGCATCGTCAGCAACAGGTCCCACCCGCGCCAAACACACTACAACATGGGCTGTGGTGGTTCTAGTAGGTTCAGCCGTTTTCATTACTCCCCCACTATCATTCTCACTTTTCACTTGTTTGCCCTGCAGAAGAAGACCTTGAGCTTCAGGAAGGCGGACCTGACCCATCGGCGGAGAAGTCAGGCAAAGATGAGTCAGCGGCTCCGGTCGCTTCGTCAACTCCGGCGGGCGCTTCTGCCACTTCAGCCACCGGTGCGCCAGCTGCTTCAGCCACCGGCGAAGCTGCGCCTGCTTCCGCTGCCCCCGCCTCTACTGCCGCCGCCTCAGGAGTGGCCGAACCGGCGGAGAAGCCTCAGTCAAAGCTGGCAAGTGCTGTTCCCTCAAAGGAGCAGGTCAAGGCAGATCTGGTGGCCGCCTCACACGCCCTCTCCGCCACTGGCTCAAAGGTGGGCTCCAAGATGGGCGGGTCGCACGCTGGAGGCAGCTCGGTGATGGGCTCAAAGGCGGGCAGCACTCTCTCCGCCACTGGTGGCCCAGGTGGGGGCAGCAGTTCCGCTGCCGGCTCCTCCGTCTCCGGGGCTGGCTCAAAGCTCTCCAAAGCCGGCGGCTCATCAGCGGTGAGCGGCAGCAAAGTGGGCGGCTCGTCGGCCATTAGCGCCACATCAGCTGGCGGCTCTTCCTGTCCGGGTGGCGGTTCCTCGGTGTGCGGAGGAGGGGGCTCTTCGGCGGCCGGAAGCAAGGCCTGCTCTTCAGTGGCCGGCTCAAAAGCGGGCGGCTCCTCAGTGGCCGCCTCGTCGATTGCCGGCAGCAAGGCTGGTGGAGGATCTTCAATGGCTGCCTCATCCATTGCCGGAGGCGGAAGTAAGGCTGGCTCTTCGGCGGTCGCTGCCTCGTCCATTGCCGGCGGCGGTAGCCATGCTGGGGGCGGCTCCTCAGTGGCTGCTGCCTCCTCCATCGCCGGTGGCGGAAGCAAGGCCGGCGGTGGTAGTCATGCTGGTGGCGGATCTTCAGTGGCTGCCTCCTCAATTGCCGGTGGGAGCAGTGCTACCGGTGCCAGCGGCGTCCACTCCAAAGCAGGTGGCTCAAAGGTGGCACCCTCTTCGATCGGAGGCGGTGGTGGTGGGAGCAGTGCCTCCAAAGCTGGCGGCAGCAGTCAGATGGGCGCTTCCAAGGCCGAGTCAAAANCAAAGCAGGTGGCTCAAAGGTGGCACCATCTTCGATTGGAGGTGGTGGTGGGAGCAGTGCCTCCAAAGCTGGCGGCAGCAGCCAGATGGGCGCTTCCAAAGCCGAGTCAAAGGCGGATGCCAAGCCGTCCACTGCCAAGAAATGATGAGGCAGAACTTGCGTCAACTACGCCTACTCTGACCCTGCATTGACCATCTTGGTCGGCAAAGCACCAGCGCACCACACAGCCTCACTACTGGGCTGCACCACTTCTTTTGTGCGCATTTTTACTTTTTATATTAAAATTAAAATAAAGTATTTTTAAAATACAGTAGTTTTCCAACCAGTTTCGACAAAATAANTGCCAAGAAATGATGAGGCAGAACTTGCGTCAACTACGCCTACTCTGACCCTGCATTGACCATCTTGGTCGGCAAAGCACCAGCGCACCACACAGCCTCACTACTGGGCTGCACCACTTCTTTTGTGCGCATTTTTACTTTTTATATTAAAATTAAAATAAAGTATTTTTAAAATACAGTAGTTTTCCAACCAGTTTCGACAAGATATTCGCATCTTCAAAGTTAAGTGTACAGTGAAATAAGAATTTGAGTATAAAGATCAAGTGAGATATTTGTCTGGAGAATTATTAAAGTAGCAGCATTCAGTGTGATATCCAGTTTCATGCAATTAAACTATGTGATTTATTTGCATTACAAAAGTTAAAAGCACAAAAAGATAGCGCCATTAACTTTTTACCGTTTACTCGCGGTAATCTACAATCTAACTTTTAAAAGGAAGCACAATTGTACGGCTGTAATGCAATGAATCGTCAGAAATAAGATTGGTTTCAAAATGGCTGGAAAATCTTTCTCTACGTTTTGTGTGACTTTTCGTTTTCTTTCTTTCTGATGCTATCAGTTTTTCTCATTAATTGTCAATCGAAAAAGAATTTTTTGACAAACAAAACAAAATGTCTTGCCACTATCATCTACAAATCATATTAGTAAAAAACTCTTTTGCTCAATCAAAAGTGCGAAAATCACAAATTTTATTTACATTCAATTTTGATGTTGACAGAAATTTTTTTCTTGTTACAAGATAAAAACCAAGTTACAAAATTGTTGTAAAAACTGTAGACTGCCCAGATTAAATCTCTCTGCTACTAAAAGCAACGGTAGTATTGATAGTTGTCAATTTAGTAGTGAAGTAGTGCCTGTATTTTGCAAGTGCAAATCTTGGTTAAGATCACTGCAGTGCATTAAAAAAATCTACTTTCAAACAGGAATACTGCCATTAACTACAAAGGCTAAAACACACTACATTGCCAAAAGCACTAAAGTGCTACTTTTAAAAAGTAAACAAAATACACTGTTTTTGTTGTTACCTAAAGGTAAGTGATAACGTAGGTAATTTAATTAGCCAAATGAGCAGGTCTTTTACAACTTTTCAAACTGTGTAAGTGATGATAGTAATAAAGCGCAGCCATGCAGCATTTTCAAAATGCAGATTTTGACAAATTTAACAGAAACCTTTTACTGACACAGAATTTTATACTTTGCTGTCAGTTGTCAATTAAGAGTAAGTTTGCTGTTGACAATACCTAAAAAAGAACACTACCTGAAGCAAAAAATGCACTCTTAAAAGTGAAACTCATTTTCCTGTAAAAAAGCAAGTATAAAATCAGGACAAAATGTATCTTTCTTTGTAGAAAATTAAACTACTTAATGGCACAACGACAAAANAATTTTATACTTTGCTGTCAGTTGTCAATTAAGAGTAAGTTTGCTGTTGAAAATACCTAAAAAAGAACACTACCTGAAGCAAAAAATGCACTCTTAAAAGTGAAGCTCATTTTCCTGTAAAAATGCAAGTATAAAATCAGGACAAAATGTATCTTTCTTTGTAGAAAATTAAACTACTTAATGGCACAACGACAAATATCAAACGCCTTTTGCCAAAAGGCGTAAGCAGCCCACGCAGTGAACAACATAATGTACAAAATACCGCAAATGTACGTTGCATATTCTGCTACTTAGAACGTACTTATTACTTTTAACATTTCAAGTAAGCTCCAACAGCTATCGATGCACTGGCAGCAGCATCTCTAATTGTAAGTCAGGATGAAAAAATGTGAATTCCTCCGTTTCCTCCTCCTTTCCTGTGCCCCACAAATTGATCCTCATTTCCGCCACTGTACGCTGCTCTTAACTTTACTGAAGGGAGTGCATCTCTCGTTTTAACTGTGATTACAAATGTCGAGCAGCAATTTGTGCGCAGTGCACACAAACACGCACACACCAAATGAAGAACATGATTTAAATGAAGTATAAGGGCAACGTTAATATTTAAATTTATGAAAACGGCTCAGCCNGATGAAAAAATGTGAATTCCTCCGTTTCCTCCTCCTTTCCTGTGCCCCACAAATTGATCCTCATTTCCGCCACTGTACGCTTCTCTTAACTTTACTGAAGGGAGTGCGTCTCTCGTTTTAACTGTGATTACAAATGTCGAGCAGCAATTTGTGCACAGTGCACAAACACGCACACACCAAATGAAGAACATGATTTAAATGAAGTATAGGGGCAACGTTAATATTTAAATTTATGAAAACGGCTCAGCANCGGTGTTTTTTTGCAATACATATTACACCAAAATATACAGTTCACAGCTGCAAAAGCACTTTTCTGGAGCTCACTTCGTTCCCTTTACTCTTGTTTTCAGAAAAAGCACAGCACCGTAAGGATGGCACTTTAATCAAAGCTCCAAAGTTAAACCCCTTCTCNAGAGCTCGGTGATTGTTCTAGCTGATATGTGCTCGTGCTTGTGCTTGTGTGTGTGTGACTGCCGTCTTGTGCCCTANAAATATACAGTTCACAGCTGCAAAAGCACTTTTCTGGAGCTCACTTCGTTTCCTTCACTCTTGTTTTCAGGAAAAGCACAGCACCGTAAGGATGGCACTTTAATCAAAGCTCCAAAGTTAAACCCGTTCTCTCTTACTTTTCTTTCACGCTCCTTTTGTCTGTCTGGCAGCGGCAGTAGTGCGCAATGTTTGAATTCCGCCTTCGCATTTGGCCCTCGCTTGACTTTTTTTTGTATGAATGAATGTGTATTCTAATAAAATTCATGGTTCGTGAAGGGTGATATCATTATTGATAATAATAATAATAATTTACTATTAGCTGAACGGTAATATTAGCGCGAGCAGAAAAGGAAAGGGGGTAAGTCTACGGTGAATTTAAGATACTGCCTAGGAAAACTGTGCCTATGACAGTAATGGAGTCATTGCGAGATAGGGAGGCATTAGTGTGAATCAAAATAATGTGAAGGAAAAAGGAAAATGTCAATGCTCTACTTACAATGAGTATGGCCAAATTGGGCACATTGATAATCCATTCGTGCCAGCTCTCATAGGAAGGCATCAGCCAGCAGTTGTCCTCCTCTTCCAGCAGACTGACGTCCTCAAAAGCGTCAAAGTTAGCCAGCACGCCATTTGCATTCTGCTGCTCTTCAAGGGTTGGCTCAGTGGTTGTCGACTCTTCGGCAACCAGCCGCTCGGCGGTTGCCAGGAACTGCTGGCGGTGATTGTTGCCATCACCTCCACCGGCCAATAAATCATTCAGCCAGGAATCGGGTTCAGGTGAGGATGACGATGATGACGATGAATCCTGTTGCGTCATCAGCTGGTGGCGAATGGCAGGCGATGAGCGAATGAGCGAGCTGAGAGCATAGTGGACACGGTCGTTCATCTGCTGATCATCGAGGCTCAGGAGAAAGACTGCTGGCTGACTGTTGCCGCCGGTGGAGGACAACAGACCATCAGCTTGGTCAGCCAGTCCGACCTGCTGTGCAGCGTAAATACTGTCGACCAGTTGTTGAGCACTGTACAGGCTGCTTTGGCTGTGCTGGTCGTTGCCAGCTGCTGCTGCTGTTGCTGCAGTGTGCAGCTGACCAGCAGCGCCACCCTCGGCGTAGGCCTCCTCAACGAAGGCAGTCGGCTCGAGGGTGAAGGGCGCCATAGAGCGGGCAAAGATGTACGAGGTGGTGGTGATGAAGGGCAGACTGTAGGCGAGGATGATAAGCGGGCGCAGGGAGGGCTGCGAGAAGGCGTGCTTGATTAGCTGGTGCAGGTACAGCGCCTCGTTGAACATCCACAGGTAGTTCACCGAGCGGAAGTAGCGCAGCAGCACGGAGAGCACCAGACAGAGGGAAGGCCATTTGAAGGAGGAAGGGTCGATTGGAGAGGGGATTCCACCACCACCACCTCCTCCTCCTCCTGCTTCACTGGCACTGTCGGTAAGGGGAGCCCCCGCGTAGCCGTGCACCCGTGAGAACTCGGAGCGGTCATCACTGGCTGACCGATTGTGCGTACTCTTGAGGAGGTGCCATTTGAGCAGGGCGGAAATGATGGCGTGCAGGAGGAGTGACGTGAAGAGGTGCTTGTGCAGGCGAATGCGAGACATTGAGGAGAGTTGCCTGGGAAGAAGGATGGGGGAGAACAAGAGCTATGGTCAGAACTTTGGTACAGCCGCAAACCGAGGATCACTAAATCGCAATTGGATTAGGCCTACATAATGAGATTCTCTCTGTACGACAACAGCAGCCGCACTATCTACTACCTCACATGAATGGCACTGTATTGATGATAGTCAACAAAAAAAACTGCAGAAAACAAATAATCAAAGCTGATTGCTAGTTTTGCTTGCGAACGTGAATAAAATAAACATCGGCGATAATGCAGCTCAAACAAGCTCATCCAACAAAACATGCTTCGATTATTTGGTCACTCAC